ATGTTACTCAGAAAACAGTGCTTTTGTTTTGGATAATCCTGTTACTTCAGTCCAAATTAATTTTAGGGTGTTGGCCCAAGACTGCAATGAGAACATATATTCAGTTGGAAGAAGTGTTTGTAGATGAGGTGCTAGAGTACCACAAATAAACCCATGAGATCAATTCTATTAAAAAAATGTGTTAAAATGAATGAAGTAAAATGTAACTGACCGCTGAGCCTCCCTCAGAGAGAACATCTAGTTTTTCTGGTTAATTTTCTTTCTTTTTGCAAGACTGGTGGTTATTCGTAAGTCTTTAAGGGTGAGTTTAATAACAGTAGCCCAAATCTGAAAATTAATTAAATAAATAATAGAATGGCTCTTACAGTACTCCTGATGGTAATGGCTTTTTTAAAGGAAAGTTAGACAATGCTTTGATTATGTTAGAAAGGAAAACAAACAAACAAACAAACAAAAACCAACAGGAGTTAAGGTGCTCAAATAATTAGAAAATCTTGAAAACTGCATCTTGAAAACCCTGGCATGTACATGCCCATCTATGTCTGTGCTATCAATTTTCTGCATGCCTTATGGAATTGCAAGAGGATTATTATTTTTTTTTTTCTTCCAGAGGGTAGGTCTGGAAAATGCTTTTGATACTAATTTCCTGCACAGATATGCAAATGACAAGGAGCATTGAACTGAATTCAACTGCCAATGAAAATGATCTGAAGCTTTTTAAAGAAATATCCCACTGACTGGCAAGATAGTTTTGTATTTAACTGGTCTGTGCAGCACCAAATTGCAAGTGAAATCCTGCTCTCTGAAGAAATATTATTTTTAGAACATCTTAAGAAAGACGTCTTTCTTTCAAATTCTGTGTAGCAAACGCTTGCTGCTACCAAAGAGGGTTTCTTTTCCCCTGACAAAACAGGATTCGATGATTTTGTTGACAAGAGATACAGTGACTCCTAGGATGTGGTTTTGCAGTGAGCACTAACTTTCTATATCTCTCATCTAGAAACTTTTAACCCATGTTGTACAATTCCTTTGAAATTTTTGACTTTTAGGTGATTCATAGTTGTCAGCTCCTGACCTTTCAGCATTTAAATAGTGTCCTTTAGATGATACTAGTAAATAAGAAGGAAGTGGGTTTAGGATTTGGTTCCAATTATGCAATTGTGCCTTTTCTTCTGTTGTGGCTTAAAAAAATCTCTTGGAAGTTTTAATATCCTTCCTTATTTAATTACAACCAGGCTTCAACAAATACTGTAATAAGTGGGTTTCTTTTGGATTGAAAATCTGCAAGAAGTATTTTACATTTAACATTTCTGCAATTTTGAAGTGTATTTTTCCCAGATTCCACAGACAGGATAATGTGGTTAATATTGTTTTTATTACATGATTGTTCATCAGGCACTTCTCTGCTTCTAATTACTATGTTTTAGTTCCTATTTGCCATAGCAAACTTTTAATTTTCTTAAAATTTTGAAGTGGCCCTGGGAAAATGTAGAAAACTGATATAAATTATTTTCTATATTCCATCTTTGTGCGCAATTTGATGGTGAGTTTACCCAGGTAATGATGAAGTTTAGAAGCTATTAGTTTTTGTTTCTGCATCCCATTTTCCCTAGATCACTGTGTTTAAGGCTTATCTATTTAAGGTGCAGTAAGTTGTGTGACAAACATCAATCTTGGAACTTAAATACTGCTCAGGTTCTTGACTGTACCTTGTCCTCTGCTTGCTGGCAGTCGTGAGTTGACTGAATACAGAAAGAAAATCTTCTATTTTAGAGGCCATTGCTTCTGGTGGCTTTGGAGGCCAGCTAGGAGGACTGTAACAGAGTTGTCTTGTTTTGGGTATGGTTTGAATAGATGGGGTTTTTTACAAGCTTATAAAATGTCATCCTTGCAAAACATTGCATTCCTAATCTCCATCGTAACAAAAAGTTGAGTATGTGCTATATGGAGATGTCATCTTTGTCACTGTATAGCTCCTGTTATGGACGATAATAAGATCTGAATTACTGTGAACATTTCTTTAAACATCTACTGTGCTGTAAACTCTTTTCTTGGCCACAATTCTTAATAATTTCCACTGAGGACATCAGTGTAACTAAGAACAGAACTTATCCCTCTGGGTTTTGAGCAGCCAGTATTTGATTGAATAGACCAGAAGACCATACTAACATGACAGTAACTCA